TTGAGCAAAAGTTTATGATTAACCATATCAAATGCTCGACTTAGGTCAAAAAATAAGCCCACCATTTGCTGCTTATTATTGAGACCTTCATATATAAAATTAAGGGCATCAGCTATAGCGGTATGTGTGGATTTTCCTTGTCGAAAGCCATTTTGATTTTCAATAACAAGGTAATTATTTTCTAGGAAATCTCGCAGTCTTTTATAATATAAATAATCTAAAACCTTGCCAAATTGACTTGATAGGCAAATTGATCTATAATTGGTTGGATCATTTTTGCAACCCTTCCCCTTATACACCGGAATACACTTAGACTTATTTAATGAGCTGGGGTACACTCCATCAAAAAAGGACAAGTTTACAAGGTGCGCCAGAGGAATAGCTACAATTTCTCCCACCAAGTTTAAGATTTTACCGTCGATATTGTCAAATCCAGCTGCATGTTTCTTAGTAGTTTTTTTTATTGTTTCAGTAATTTCAAAATGAGTTACAGGATGAAGAAAAAAACTTTTCCGACCAGGTACCAGATTAATTTTGTCAAATTCAGGTACTAAAGTATTGTTTATATTATTAATAAAATGATTGTTAAAAATTTCACACATATCTTTTGGATCATTAAAGGAAGTATTGTTTACTATTATTTCAGATATGGAATGCCTTATGGCTTTGTGCTTATTAATTATCTTCCAACTTTCCTTTGAGATGTTAGTAGCATTTTGAATTCTAGAATTATTTATTGTTTTTTTGGCATTAATTATAGAGTTTTCATAAACTTCCTTAAATTCTTTATATCGTTTCGTATATGTCGGGTTATTAAGAGTCCTAGAAAGGGTTTTCATTTCGCATAATTGTTGATGCATTTGCTTTAGATTTCTAGTAAACCATTCTTTATTTTTTATTGACAAAGTTTTTTTACACAATGGAAATGCACAGTTATAATAAAAAGAAACCTATTAAGAAAAAATTCAAATTTAGCACTAGAATCGCCTTCCCCATAGATATCAGACCACGATTCCTCAGATAAAAGTTTACAGAATGTATTAATATTTTCTACAGAAAAATCCCTTCTGAATATACATCTTTTTTCAGTCCGACTGGATTCCTTAAGAAAAAAATTACACAACTGATAGCAATGATCCGTAAAGTATATATCCTTAACTTGAGTATTATTTACATCTAAGTTTGAAAATATATTGGAATAAAATATATGGGAATCTAATAAGATATTTATATTTAAGTCGCCACACACAATATAAAAATAATTGTTTTTAAAAAATTTGTACATAAATTCTTGAAATTTTTCAATAAATACATTAAAATCACTATTGGGTGAACGATATACACAAATAATGTAGATTTTTAACTTGCCACTATTGTATTCACTAACACACACTTCAAAATGCTTCTCAATTGATTTATTATAAACCAGGGTTCTTAAATTTAAATTAGCCTTTGCAAAAATACAAACACCACCACGTATAAAAGTTTCTCTACAGTAAAAGCTTATTAGATTAAAATTGTCCAGTTTTATAAAATCAATGTCTGATTTTGTTAACCAGTGCTCACTAAGGCAAACTATATCCGCGTTTATTTCTGATAATAATTGAGCAAGAACAAACAAGTTTTTTCTCAACACCCTGCATATTACAATGAAATACTTTTAGATTATTTTCTACTCTCATTTTTATTGATGGCACCTCGAAAAAACTTATAGTCCCTAATAATAATACCTTGCGGCCATTTGGATTCATTAAACAAAATTTCTTTATTTTTAAGATCTAGACTTACTTTAAAGCTACTGTTGTTACCTTTTGAGTCCAGGTTTTTTATTTGGAAGCTGTTATTAGGAAATTTTTCATTTAAGTATTCCATCATTTCATCTTTCTGCACTACACCCTTAATATGCCCAACATACATATATGCATACTTTTCAACACCCTGTATTTTTGATTTTCCTTCTTTTGCACCCTGCACTCTGCGCGAATTTTTATATGTTACTTTTGTATATCCGTCATCCGTTTTGTTTACAGTAGTCTGCGTTGTTGTTGTTTCTTCTTTATTCGTTTTTTTGTTAATAGTTTCTTTCGCCTTATTTTTATTTAAATTTATTGATGTTTCTGTTACATTCTTTGCATTCTTTTGTTGGATATTTGTTTTAGGCATAGATGGAGTTGATTGTTTATTTTGTTTTGAATCATTATATAATTCCAGAATTTTATTAATCTTTTCTTGATCACTTATTCTTCCCACCAGGTGGTGGATCAAATGCTTTTGATTGGTTATTTCTTGTTTAAGGTAACTATTTTAAGTTATTTTTTACACATTCAATAGCACTACACTTGACATTACATTTAACTTCACCTTCTACCATAATTTCTTTAGGAAATAACTGTTTTACAACGTCATTTAATAAAGCATTACCTATCAAGGCACTTGGAACGGTTTTGTAAATAATAATATCAATTAAATCACATTTTCTTAACTTATTTAACTCAGAGCTAATTACATCGACCTCCATGATGGCGACCGACTGCTGTTTAGTTTAAATTATTCTGCCTAAGATGAAGGTTGTGTGTATAAATATTCAGGGATTTAATTTATTCTCTAACTAAAAATGGGTTTTTCATCCAAAAGAAGTTACGGTTACCAATGGATTGCAAACAAATCATTATCTCTTAAAACCAATGGTAGAATTTAAGCTGTTATCGCGAAAAAATAAAAAACAAGTTTGCTTTGAAGAAAAAATTCATGGTCTACGATATTTAAGTGGATATATAAATTTTAATGAGATTAACAACATTTTAATGGAATTATTGCCTGAATACGATACTGTTTACACAAAAGGAAATCAAAATTATGAATATTTAAAAACAGTCTGTGAGCAGTTATTACCAAATATAAAAATTATAAACGTTGAAACATTAAACCTTTGGAAACAACCTATGTTTAAAAACAAACCCCTCATGTGTTTGGATCATTTTAGAAGCGGTAGGTGTAGTACAACACATGCCTTAGTATTACATAATTGGCTTCAAAGTTATCTACCCCATAATCATGGATTGTAAAGAATTTGCTCAAAGAAAAATAAAATTTTATAAAGAATTGCAAGCATTAAAAGAAGACATTGAAATGTATGAACTGTGTAAGGCTTTTGCTGCTATGAGCATTTCTGAGGATCTGAGGAAAAAATCGCTTGACATTACTAATTAAAAAAAAATTATGTGCTTTAAATAAAACATTATTATAATAAATAAATAAAAAAAATTATATTGTTTTTATGTATATCCTAAAATTAGAATAAAACTCAAAGGTAAGTTAAATAATATATTTATTACATATTTTTACATTTATTAAATACATAACCTAAGAAGTATAAAAATCCATAAATAGTAAAAGAATTCCTACTATTAACAGAGATATAAATTCTATAAATATTTTTGTGGAAAATGTTGTTGAATTCGAAGAGGCCACCCCCGATCCTGTAGTGGTTGATAAATTGGTTAAATTAGTTATTACACTATTTAAACTATTTATTTCAAAAAGGCTTCTAGTCTTTCCACCATCTGCTGATAAAATATATTTTAATTTATAATGCAATATAGAGCTATTTGCTGAGGCATTAACTTGTATCCTGAATACAGCAGGAGCTACATCCATTGGATACCAATCATTTGGCCATTGAGTCTTTACCATTGGATTATCAACACTGAATGCCACATAACAATCCTGAATGTTTTTGGGAAAATTTACAAATAAAGTATTATTAATGAATGCAGATAGTAATAAAAAATTTGCTGTCGAAAACATGATTATTAGATGATAGTAACTCAACATGTAACCATTTTTTGCATTTTTAATTAGTATATATCTGAAAAAGTGGTGGGGAAATAAAAATTTAAAAGATTTACGTAAACATTTATTTTTTAATAAATAAATTTTTATTGTTACTTATTGTGTTAATGTACACACAACGCCTTTTTTTAGCTGGGGATGGTAATTCATTCATATCGAATAAATCCACCACCCCCTCATTTGGTTCTAGCAGGCAACGGAACGGAGGCAGTGGGGAAGACTCTAATGGCATCGGTGAGGGTGAGGTTGGCGGCAAAGGTTCCGATATCGATGAGGGCATTGGGGAAGACTCTAATAAATCCACCACCCCCTCATTTGGTTCTAGCAGGTAACCTGACTCTCTGAACATCGGTGAGGGTGAGGTTGGCGGCGAAGGTTTCGATGCTATTGGTGAGGGTAGTGGGGAAGACTCTAATAATATCAGTGAGGGTGAGGACGGTGGCGAAGGCTCCGATGCTATTGGCGAGGATAGCGATGAAGTTGACTGAGTTCTAAAAAGAAAAAAAATTTAAATTAGAAAAAAAGTTGTGTGTATTACCTGTAGTCGACAAAACAAAAGCAGAAAAGCCTGCCACAGTCTTCGCACTCTCGCCTGTAAGCCCAATTTATTGCTCTGCAAGAAAAAATAAATAAATAAGTAATAAACATTAAATAAATAACTTACTGTTTTAAGGACATCAGATGTGGAGGTGGAGTTATATTTCTGAAAAGAAAAAGGTATAAATAATTAAGGTTAAAAATAAAAAAAATATAACTTACTTTTCCATAAAATATTATTCTGGATTGACAGGCGGCGTGTACCTGTTAGTACTTTCACTATATTCACTCATCGTTGCTTGTACTAATAATAAATAAATATTTCAATATTTTCTTTTTATAATAAATTTTTATCTAGCAACTACGTTATGTCAAGCCACAAACAAAGAAATATTTTAATTTTCGGAAAAACCTCAGATACTGCTTATCAACATCCTGTTCTAGAACGTTGTTAGTTAAAAACAACAGGATGTTGATAAGCAGTATCTAGGGTGTTTCCGCAAATTAAAATATTTGTTTGATTGTGGTTTGACATTACGTAGTTGCTAGATAAAAATTTATTATAAAAAGAAAATATTTAAATATTTATTTTCAGTATAAGTTTATCAACCAAAGCTATTTTTTGAGTGTGTTAGTGCATATAATTATACAAAGTAAGTTATTATTATTAGTATTTAAATATTGATATTATTGATTTTTAGTTTTATATTTAAAGTTTTTTTTTTAATTTTAGTATGGCATCATTTTTATTAAAAATTAATTCTTCAGCAGCTGCTGAAGAAAAAGAAGTAATAAAAGCGGAAGAATTGCTTGAGGGGGAAGTATATCCTATAAAAGAAATAAAAATTGTGAAAGGAGGATTTGGAGATCTGCCTCTAGTTGAACTAGAAGAGTTTAAAGTATTCCTTCCAAAGCGGATGACCGAGGCGGTTGCTGCAAGTTTACAAGACCTCAACACCGGAAAATTTGGCCTGGTTTATTTAGGCAAGAAGGAGTTCAAGGACGCCAAATATAAACCAACCCCAACCTTTGAAATTAGGCAAATTTAGAAAATGGATGTAAAAGTGGCCACGGTGAGTACAGACTCATTAAATTTAATATTAAATGCCCTAAAGTTTTTAACAAATAATTCTGCTCAAAACGATATTAAATTTTGGCTTAATTTAATTTAAAAAAATATTAGACTTTGCTCACAATTAAACAAAAACAATACATTATCGATAGGATGGCAAAAAAAAATTATAACAACCATTGGACAATTAAAACGATGCCAAGTACAGTTAAATAATTTAAAGCATGTAGGGGCGGGGGTGAAAACTAACCGTAGTGCGCGGATTAAATGGGAGGATGTAACTACAATGTTTAAGTCAAGAGTTCGAACAGGCATTATAATAAATATTTTACATCTAGATCCCCTAGGGTTTTTAAATGATACATTTTTTTTGTTTCAATCTAGAATAAAAAATATCTTAAAATCCATGCCGCTACTTAAAGTTAACACTTGTTTTGGAAGTGATTTTCTAAAGCAAAATATTAAGTCAGAAGATATTACTGAAATTAAATATTTTAATACCAAAAACGTTGTCATAGATAGAAGTACAAATTTAAAGAACTGGTTTCAAGAAAATGTAATAGATAAAATTTTGAATAAATTAAGTGAATTTGCAGAGAAAGACTCAGGGTGGGCATTAAAAAAAGTATTAAGTTTAGAAATCAATATAAATAAATATGAGGTTGGTAACGGCTCATCTTTTATTAGGCTACCTGAGGAAATTGCTAGAAAACGTGCCTGTGTAAATATAAAAAATTATGATGATTATGCTTGCTTTGGGTGGGCTATAGTATCAGCATTATGCCCCCCAAAATCTGTGGTGGATAGAACTTCCTCATATCCTAGCTACAATAATGTTTTAAATTTTGATAATATTAACTTGCCTATGAAACTACTTGATATTAATAAATTTGAAAAATTAAATTCCCTATCTATTAATGTTTACGGGCTGGAGCTAATTGAAACGAAAAAAGGTACTCATTACAATACTGTTTCAATCAGACTTACAAAAAATAAATTAGATCAGCATATCAATTTGCTTTTAATTCAAAATATGTATTTTCCCAAGCAATCTGATTGCGAACCACTTATAGATGTATCTGATGATAGCGAAATAAAATATCACTACTGCTGGATTAAAAATTTATCTAGACTAATATCCAAGCAAACAAGTAAACGTGGTCATGAAATGTTTATTTGCGATTGTTGCCTAAATTATTTTTCTAATCAAGCAAAGTTGACTGAGCATGAAAAATATTGTATAAAAATTAACAAAAGCAAAATTTCTTTTCCTGAGTATGACTTTGTTGAATTTCATAATGAAAAATTTCAAGAAAAAGTACCATTTATTATATATGCTGATATAGAATCTATTCTTTTACCCATAAATGAAAATATTTCTATAAAGTCTTTAAAATATCAGGAACATAAAGCATTTAGCGCCGCATATTATTTTAAATGTGATTATGATGATAATTTATCGTATTACAAAAGCTATCGCGGTCTCGATTGTATACAGTGGTTCGCAAATGAGCTTGCAGAAGTATCGAAACTGGTAAAATTAAAATTAAAAACTCACATACCCATGCAAAATGATATTGACTTGAAGGATGCCACTCCATCATGTCATATCTGCAAAAAAATCTTTAGGCAGGATGACATTATAGTTAGAGATCATAATCACTTCAATGGACAGTTCAGAGGTTATGCCCATCAGGTTTGTAACCTAAATTACAAAAATACCTTTACAGTCCCAGTTGTTTTTCATAAGTTATCCGGATATGATTCACATTTTTTTATTAAAGATTTATCAAATTTTACAAGAATCTCTTTGCTACCGATAAACAAAGAGAAATACATTTCCTTTACAGTTTACGATAATGAAACAAACATAAAATTAAGGTTTATCGACTCTTTTCGCTTCATGGCTTCAAGTCTAGATAAATTATCTTCACATTTACCTAATTATCCAATTTTAAGAAGGGAATTCAAAAATTTGCCTAATGAAAAAATTAAACTATTAGAACGTAAGGGTGCTTTCCCATATGATTTTGTAGATTCTGAAGAAAAATTAAATTTTCTGTGTCTACCTGAAAAATCTGCTTTTTACAATAAACTTAATGATTGCAATATTTCGAATGAATATTATGCACATGCCCTTAAGGTGTGGCAAGAATTTGATTGTCAAAATTTAGGTGAATACTCTGACCTCTACTTAAAAACTGATATATTATTGCTAGCTGATGTGTTTGAGCAGTTTCGCACCAGCTGTTTTAACAAGTATGAACTCGATCTAGCGCATTATTATACTTTACCTGGATATACGTGGGATTGCCTGCTAAAGTATACCCGCTGTAGCTTACAAATACTAAAGGATGTAGATATGCTATTATTTATTGAACAAGGTATTCGCGGTGGGGTGAGCCAATGTTGTAATCGATACGCTGAGGCTAACAATAGGTATATGGGCAAGTCATACGATCCATCAAAATCATCAAATTATTTACTCTACCTAGATGTCAACAATTTATACGAGTGGGCTATGTCTCAATATTTACCTTATGATGGTTTTCAATGGGTTGAAAACTATGAAAATTTTAATGTTATGAATGTTTTGGATGAGTCACCAGTCGGCTACATTTTAAAGGATGATCTATCATACCCAGATGAATTGCATGATTTACACAAAGATTTGCCTTTTTGTCCAGAACATAAAAAACCTCCAAATTCAAAATTACCTAAATTAATGACTACCTTAGATGATAAATCAGAGTACATAATACATTACAGAAATTTAAAACAAGCTCTTAAAAGCGGCCTTGTTTTAACTAAAATCCATATTATATTAAAATTCAAACAATCTCCTTGGCTAAAATCTTATATAGAGCTAAATACAAATTTAAGGCAAAATTCTAAAAATGAGTTCGAAAAAAATCTTTTTAAGCTAATGATAAACGCTATCTTTGGCAAAACCATGGAAAATATTCGTAAACAAAGAGTAGTAAAATTAGTTAATAAATGGGAGGGGCGTTATGGAGCGAAAAATTTAATTGCCTCCCCAAATTTTAAAAAGGTAAGTTATTAAATATATTTTTCTAAATCATCTAACATTTTTTCCTCTAAATAATACAAGCATTATAAAAGACAATAACTTTCTACACTAGAACTACAAGAACATAGGGATGATATGATTTCCTGCACATGATAATAAGTAGGATAAAAATTAAGTTCATTTTTTAACACTTCACATGTGCTTTCTAATATATTTTGATAATAACGACTAAAATTTAAATTATTTAACATTTCAAGTTTTTTTAAAATTAACTTATCTAATCCAATAATTTCAAATACATCGTTTAACTTAAAATCAAATATAGCGCAATCATCTGATATTTTAAAAATTTTATTTTGACCGTCAATCCAATTTTTAAGTTGAATTTCATCGGTGTGATTGGTCTCCAAACGTTGTTGTAAAGCGTTAATTACGCTAAGCCATTCACCCCATGTAAAAAAAAAGATGTCCATGACTGACTTTGTTAACCATTCTTACTACTGGTAGAAAATTCCTTGCAGCACTAAGTCCACATTCCAGTGAAAAAAATTCAGAACCATAAGTTGATGCGTAAATTAATCGTTTTTCAGCTTTAATAGCTTCTTCATATCTATTAAACACTGCATTTAGATTGGAATCATAACCTTCAAAATCGGAATCTGCACTACTACCCATTTTATGTGTGCACTGCTTTACTTTACTTTTTAAACTAAATTAAATTTTGATTTTGTGGTGAGAAACTGGAAAAGAGTGGGGTGATCAAAAAAATCTGTTTTATTAATATAACTATTATGTGAATCATCGAAGCCCAACCATTTCACGAAGACTTTGTTACCACGTTTATGTAAAACTTTTTCCACCAGGTAAATATCAGGCTGCATTGTTTTTTGTAACTCATCCTCATAAAATGCTCCACTAATGGGTCTGCCATTTAAATCTTCCAAAATGTATGTGGTGGGGTTTGTAATTTTTACTTTTACAATTTTAAACAATTCTGTAGTCCAATTGGGAGTATATCCTTTATCAAAAACATGTTTTGCTTTACTTATTCTTACTATATCACCAATGGAAAACTTTTTAGGTTTGGTTGCTAATTTTAAATGAGTAAAGGCAAACTTTAAAACTTTTTTTTCATTTTCTTTACAAACATCAATTGGTTTCATATTAATTTTTCTATGTTTTGTATTATTATAATTTGAAACAATTTGTGGCAATATATCAACCCATTTATATGACCCATTTAAACTAAAGTATTTAAATAGACGTTCTTTCACAGTCCTTATAACACGCTCGGCGATTGCAGCTTTTTTACAACTAAATGTATTATAGTGATTTATTGAATATTTTTGCATAAGTTCATTAAACTTACTATTAAAAAATTCCTTGCCCTGATCAGTCTGTAAGTTTTGTGGACATCTTTCTTTCAATATTAAATTAAAAGCTTTTGTAACTTCTTCTCCAGATTTATTTTTTAATGGTTTAGCCCATAAATATTTTGAAAAACAGTCAATAACAATCATGTATTTAAAATTTTTATTATTTGATGCATACATGTCCATCTGCCCTAAGTCTGATTGCCAAAGGTCATCAATGCCCTTAATAATGGGGAACTAGGCATTATACTAATGAAATGCATTTACGACAAAATATGATTATAATTACCCAGACAGCACCATTCGTCCAATGGACGTCCGTTTAAGATCCATTTTAAGTACATTGGTCCACGGACTAAAAATGGGTGTACTATGTACGTCCATATATTTACATCCTTTGTACGATTTTAAAGGACGTCCATATAGTGTCCATTTTACGTCCATAATTATTATTACAGAAATGCAAGTTAAAACGTATTGTTGGCTGCATAACAACAGTTATGATCAATCTCACTGACATTCAAGCAAGCGCGTGCTATAAAGGACTTAAGTTATCAATGAAATATTAAACACTTGTAGTATTGCAAATGAAATGTTCCTGAGTCGAATACAAGGATTTCCTGCAATGTTCAACATTGAATGTTGTAACTTTTAACAACTTTTAGAATATTTATATTCCTAGTGGGATTCTTACTGAGCCAGGCAAAAAATTTTCTGCAACATCGCAATGAAAATACAGTCGCAAAAAACAGTTAAAGTAAGCAAAAAAGCAGGTTCTGGATGCTGGAGGAATGGTTCAAACACCTTATAGACGTCCATCGGTGGACGACTTATGGATGTCCAAAGTTGTGACATCTGGACTCTAAACGGATGTCCATGGGACGTCCATAGAAAAAAAATGGACATCCTATGTACATACAGACGTCCACGAGCATGCGTCCATTGGACGTCCATAGTATATCTTTGTGCTATCTGGGTATACCCAGATAGCACAAAGATATACTATGGACGTCCAATGGACGCATGCTCGTGGACGTCTGTATGTACATAGGATGTCCATTTTTTCTCTATGGACGTCCCATGGACATCCGTTTAGAGTCCAGATGTCACAACTTTGGACATCCATAAGTCGTCCACCGATGGACGTTTATAAGGTGTTTAAACCATTCCTCCAGCATCCAGAACCTGCTTTTTTGCTTACTTTAACTGTTTTTTGCGACTGTATTTTCATTGCGATGTTGCAGAAAATTTTTTGCCTGGCTCAGTAACAATCCCACTAGGAATATAAATATTCTAAAAGTTGTTAAAAGTTACAACATTCAATGTTGAACATTGCAGGAAATCCTTGTATTCGACTCAGGAACATTACATTTGCAATACTACAAGTGTTTAATATTTCATTGATAGCTTAAGTCCTTTATAGCACGCGCTTGCTTGAATGTCAGTGAGATTGATCATAACTGTTGTTATGCAGCCAACAATACGTTTTAACTTGCATTTCTGTAATAATAATTATGGACGTAAAATGGACACTATATGGACGTCCTTTAAAATCGTACAAAGGATGTAAATATATGGACGTACATAGTACATCCATTTTTAGTCCGTGGACCAATGTACTTAAAATGGATCTTAAACGGACGTCCATTGGACGAATGGTGCTGTCTGGGTAGGTACTTACTTTATTTGTTTAAAAGCTCCAATGTTCAATGTAACCAACCATTCCACAAGATTCCTCTGCTTTGGAGTCCGTTATTAAGAAATCACTTATCTAATATCAATTACAAATAACATAACAATAACATTGATTTTCAATAATCTAAATTTAAAAAAAACATAACCCGAAAAAAAGAAACGTCAAAAAATCAATTCTTCTTCTTCTTCTCAACTAAAATTATAGATGGTTTTTAAACTAAAATATTATAACGTGGCGCCATCTATCGTAAGAATCATAAACTAAACACACTGGCAACCATAGAAAAAGCTGGCAACGTTGTCAATAGCCTAGTGACGTAATTAGGAGATTTTTTTTGTAAATATCTCGAAAACGGTAAACTCAATTGAAATTCCGATTACACAGAAATGTTTAAAATTACAAAACGCCTTGAATAAAACCATAAAAAGTATAATTTAACGACCCCATTGTTTTTCGACGTTTAAAATTTTTTTTATAGGCCTATGAAGTTCATTAACAAGTTTAATTTTTTCCTTTGTGTTTTTCATGGTATAGCTGTAGGAATACTAATATTAAAAGGTACTCCAAGATCTTTAAATATTTTATAAAGTTTTTCCCTACAACAAAATTTTCCCCTACATCTTCAACTTGTTTTTTAGTAACATTAGTTGGTACTGTAATAACTTTAAATATATCATTATTTTTTTTTCTAACTCCATATTTTTTTCCTCTAGATGTTGAAATTGTTTTTTATTTATATCCAAAACCTTTTCAATCCACACAATTTTGTTACTCATAGCATCACGTGCCTTTACATGTGCTTTTGAAATATTCTTTAAAGGCTCTAAATCGTTGATAATTTTTGTTTTTTGTTTATTAAGTTCTTCAATTTGTTTTTTTAAATCCAATATACTTTCTTCATAGATTTTCTTGAAATCTAGCAAATCTTTGATAATTTTTGTTTTATTTTTTTCAAGTTCTTTGGCGCATTTATCATAATTTACGAGCGATTTTTTTTCAAATTTTTGAATTGATTTTAAGGTATCTTGTTCAAATTTACTAAGCGAATTTGATTGATTTGATTGATTTGAAGGGGAGCCTTTGCAGGCAGCACTTAGGCACACATACGGCCCATTGTGCAAACCCCCTTTTGGTGAAGCTCTGCCTTACCTTACGAGCCCGCAGCTTTTAAGAAAAGCGCAGACCCGCTCTGGTCGGGCATGCATTATTTCCTCTGGTTCCAAGTATCTGTCCCCTAGGTGTCTTAGTCTACTATTGACTAGAGCGTCGCATTCGCAGACTATATGCTCGGTAGTTTCGTCTACTTCGCTGCAGTACCTACAGTCCGACTCGTTGCTGAGTCTGGTTTTGTGTAGGTGGTATTTGACTACCCAGTGTCCTGTTAGGACTCCTGTGATGGTTCTTAACTGGTTCCTGTTAAGTTTCAGGAATCTTTTTGCCTCTTTGCAGGTAGTAGGACTCTTTATAAAGGCCCTTGACTGCCTGAGGCCTTGTTGTTCACGCCATTTTTTCTGGAACTGGTCGTTAGTCCAGTTCCTGATCTTGGTTTTTACCAGACAGGAGGCGACCCCTATGACAGGTTCCGGCCCCAAGAAGGCCGTGTTGCT